TACGGAAGATCCTAAGTCCATCTCGAAAGAGCTCTTAAGCTCATCCACGGCCGAGCTCCTAAGGGACAAGCTTTAATGTCATGTGATTCCATCAACAGTTCAATATTGGAGGGTAAACTATAGTAGGCCGACCTTTTCTCGAAGGATCATAAGCCAACCTCAGAGGTCGGGCCCGGTTACTTAGGCGCAGATGAGAACCTTCCAAGTATTATGCTCCAAGGTAGGGATAAATCCAGAGACCAACACGGACCAACGGTCCATAGCAGGTCACTTGACCCCAGAACAATGAAATACCCCGATGGGATGGGTAACTACTCCTCAAATCCCTATAAATACACCTTCACTCCACCCACTAAGGTATAAGAATATGTTTGACGCTGATCTGTTGAGCTCAAATTATTACTGACTTGGGCATCAGAGTGGCCTACCTGTTTAGCAAGTACCTTTGAAGAATACTCCAAATGTTGCCAATCGACCTCCCAGGTCGTCCTCCGTGCCTTGACAGATTTTTGCATCAACAATTATGAAGGAATTACATTATTAATAATATTTATGATCATAAATATATAATTTTAAAACAACATTTTTTTTACAACCAATATACCTGTGATATTTTTGCATAAATTATATGATTGTCTTTTTGAAAAATTCTTGTAGTTGAAAATGAAATTTATATTAAGTTAATATGAATTAACTTGTTCTACAAAATAAAAATCTATTATATTAAATGAATTTATAAATTATATAAATATTTGTAAGGACATTTTTGGAACATTCTACAAATTTAACACATTTCCAATAAATCCTGAAATCCAAATATTCTAGACTATCTTTATAAATCTTCTTACGAAACAAATATGTTATCTGAAGATGCCTAAATGTCGGGCATCTACATTCTTGAAAAACAAACGACCCCTAAAGAATAAGATACTTCCAGCAAAAAATACACACAAACCTAAATGTGACGTTTTGCAAGTGTTAAATAATCCCAAAATTATTTGCCTCACTTGTGTCATAAATGACAAAAGAATCCGTAAGTCTCCATTATTTCTTACAAAAACGTACCTCAAACTTTCGTGATATCTTTTCAATGTCATAAGATCCCAATCCAGCCTTTCGTGATGTTTTTATGAAAATTTTGTATATCCCGCAAAAAATGTCTCCACAATTTCGTGACCTTTTTTTAGTATCGTGTGACTATAGGGTGGATCTATTCGTCTGTGCATTGATTATAGGGAGCTCAACCGTGTGACTATAAAGAATAAATACTCACTCCCTCAGATTGAAGATTTATTTGACCAGCTTCAGGGTGCTACTGTTTTCTCAAAGATTGATTTGAGGTCAGGCTATCACCAGTTGAAGATTAAAGCTTGTGACATCCAAAAGACTGCATTTAGAACACGTTATGGCCATTGTGAGTTCTTGGTCATGCCTTTCGGATTGACTAATGCTCCAGCTGTCTTTATGGATTTGATGAATAGGGTATTCAATAATTTCTTGGATAAATTTTGTCATTGTCTTCATTGATGACATCTTAGTTTATTCCAAGACAAAGCTTGAGCATGAGTTGCATTTAAGACAAGTATTAGAGGTATTACGGGAGAAGAAACTCTGTGCTAAATTTAAGAAGTGCGAGTTTTGGCTTAAGAGCATTGCCTTTCTAGGACGTGGTGTCCAAAAAGGGGATCTCAGTGGATCCAAGCAAAATTGAGGTGGTTATGAATTGGCCACGACCCACAAATGTACAGGAAATTCGAAGTTTTCTTGGCTTGGCTGGCTATTATAGAAGGTTTTTCTAAGATTTCATCTCCTTTGACTCAGCTAACAAGAAAGAATGCACATTTTCAGTGGTCAGAAGATTGTGAGCAAAGTTTTCAGGAATTGAGGAAGAGACTTGTTACTGCTCCAGTTTTAACTGTTCCTAGTGGGGACACAGATTTTGTGGTTTATAGTGATGCGTCAAGAAATGGGCTAGATTGTGTACTTATGCAAAATGGTTAAGTTATTGTCTATGCTTCACGACAACTCAAGAACCATGAACAAAATTACCCTACTCATGACTTGGAGTTAGCAGCAGTTGTGTTTGCTTTAAAAATTTGGAAGCATTACCTGTATGGTGCTCATTGTGAGATTTTCACCGACCACAAGAGTTTAAAATATTTCTTCACTCAGAAGGAATTGAATATGCGTCAACGACGTTGGTTGGAGTTAGTTAAAGATTATGATTGCACTATTAGCTACCATCCTGGTAAGGCGAATGTGGTGGCAGATGCCTTAAGTAGGAAGTCCTCAGGTTACTCAGCAGCCTTACTCACAACTCAAGAGCATTTAATTAAAGATTTTGAGAAGTTAGCGATTGATGTGACTACAGAAAGTGTATCGTCGTTGTTGGCTAGCTTGGTGGTTGAACCTTCTTTACTTAGCAGGATCAAGCATGCTCAACTTTCAGATCCAGCTTTGAAGAAGACTGTCGATGATGTTAGCAAATCTAAACGAGTTGACTTTTCAGTGTCATGTGATGGAGTTTTATGGTTTGATGATCGTCTTTGTGTACCAAATGACTAGATTATTAAGAAGGAGATCATGACTGAAGCTCATAATACTCCACCTTGGGAGTTCAAAAATATACCAAGACCTCCGAAGAACTTATTCGTGGATAGGAATGAAGCGTTGCCAACTTTGTTAGTCATTGTCTAACATGCCAGCAGGTAAAAATTGAACATCAAAGACCGTTTAACTAAATCAGCTCACTTTTTACCGGATATATCATGCAGTCAAATATTTTGCAAGTGTTAAATAATCCCAAAATTATTTCTCCATTATTTCTTACAAAAACGTACCATTCAGCCTTTCGTGATGTTTTTATGAAAATTTTGTATATCCCGCAAAAAATGTCTCCACAATTTCGTGACCATTTTTAAGTATCATGGAATTCCAACTTTTTTTTTCTTTTCACTTTTCGTGGTGTATTAAAAACATTAACAAATCCGTAAATCTCACTATTTTCCTGAAAAAAAATATACGCACACCCACCTTTTTGTTACCTTTCTTGAAAGGTCATGGAATTCCGAATTTCTCTTTACTTTTCCGTGATGTGGAAAAAAAATTACGAAAAGCTAAAAAAAAAACTCTTTTTTCCTCGAAAAAACAATGCCTTCCATTTTCCTACCGTTATTAACTATTCATCAACGTCATTGAAGCTGAAATTTGTATGTACTAGGTAAACATATACTTTCACACTTAAAATGTTCTAAAAGTTAATAAATTAGAAACTGGTCCTGGAACCACTCAAAATTGAGCCTACATACTTTTGGAAATTACCCATACGTTTTTGTTGAACTAAAACCAATAACTTAAAAACCTTAATAAATTAAAAGAATAGTGTTTAAGACAAGAAGGCCGCTCAATAYTATAAATATATTTATAAGGGAGATACTCTTTTATTTTTTACTTGCAACGATCATACATGAAAAATCAACCCCTCCATCCATATATCTTAGTTGATGAGTATCAAATCACTCAATTGGAGTGGGGGAGAGCTAATGAATTGCCTCAAATGGTATATGGCTTGGGCAATGGCATGTCCTTAACCAAGCCACATAATAAAGTATTGTCTGGAATGTTGTACTCATCTCTGAGGGAGCGAGCGGGAGAAAGAACACTGAAGTAGAGTTGTTGTCCCAAGTAACGATTTTCTGTCAACTCAGACCTCAAGTTCCACATTCCAGCATTATCCAATGTCAGAAGAATGGCTGCCCACGATTTGGGGAAGACTTGAATTGTATCCCTGCTGACCGCGTCTAGAAGATTGTAGTTCTTTCGTTTTTCTGGAGTCCATCTCCCAGGCTCAATGCTGTGAAATGTTAATAAAGAGTAAATTAGTTATATATATATAAACATTGATTATTTGTTCCAACTGATGATACTTACGCGACAGCAAAGAAGGAGTAGCCATTCAAATGCCACGATTGAAGACTTTTCTCGTGGTTCTCAAATACGATCTCTACGAAGTTTCGAAAAGTTGCATTAACAACATTAGGAGCAACAGTCACGGTGTTTGCACCTTCTGCTGGTCCGTCGTCAGAAATGGTATCGTACTTGAAGACCTTGTCAGCGATTCCAAAGTACTCTGCGAGCTTCAATGGAGTTTCAGGGTCAATATGAGAGACACCATTGATGGCATATCGCAGCTTACCATCCACCTTAGTGGCTGAATTGATTATCTTGATCGTGCGGGTAATATTGATGGAACCGTAGTGGTACGAGCCTTGGGGATTAGGCCTAGCAGCACTAGCAGTAAGGTTCCAACGGAAGGTACGGAATTGATTGAGGGACCAAGCCCAACCCACAGGTGCCTCGGGGATTTCAGGAGAGGCAGGGCCTTTGCCATTGGTATATCGAATGATGCCTTTACCGACAAGAACATTCTTAGTGAATCGCGTGGATGCAATCAAGTAATAGTCCTTGGGCTCTTGGTTGGCTGTGACCAGCACCGAAAAGCATTGTCCCACATGGATGTCAAGTGATTGGTAATCGTTCTGGACGACATGAGAGCCCTCCATCTCTACCAACTTCATGGTGTGGTCTTGGAATCTAATGTTAAGAGATGTCTTCAGTCCAATGTTGCAAACTCGGTACTTGTAAGTCTTCTCAGGCTTCATGGTAAACAGCGGCTCATCGGTTCCATCACCCTTTGCATTCTTCCCATTAATGAGGACACCGTCGGGCCTAGCAAGGGAGCGTCCGCTATCCAAGAAATTCTTAAGAGCAGAGTGGCTCTTGGTGTACCAGTCACCAACAAGGACAGTGTAATCATCTTCAGGGTCAGCATAAGGGACAGGAATGAGTAAACGGCTATTCACACGGAGGCCTCCAAAGCCTCCCGCTGCCCTGTGCATGGCAGTTGATGGATAGTAAAAGAAGCTTCCAATTTGGTCCTTAACTTGGAAATGGTAGGTGTAGTTTGTCCCCGGTGGGATTGGGCAATTGGTTCCAAGTAGTCCATCTTGCCACGAATTTTTGCGGTGTTGAATACCGCTCCTGCAAGTCCAATTCCATTTGATTTTATTTTATTTTCTGAATTGAGCCATTGAATGAAGAAGAAAGAGTAGTTATATATGTAAATATAAATTATAATAATTAAATACCGTACCAATGTATAAGGAAGGGTTCGTCGAGGTTGTTGAAGACATTAACGACTATGTTATTGTTGGATGTGGAGTTGATATTAGGTCCGGGGAATTGGCCGTTGATGAGAATGCCTTGCTGGGGAACGCCCAAGGGAGAGATGGTGCCATAGGTGATATTCCACGTGAAGAAGAAATAAGGGTCCTCACCCCGGACCGTTGACATTGCTGCAGCCGAGAGGCATAGCAGCACGGTAAACATCAACCCAGCCATCTATATCTCCCCGTTTTTTTCTCTTCTGATTTTCTTTTCAAATCACCGCTCTTTTTCTCGAGCAGGCTATGTATCCCAAAATAAGATGGGTTGTTGTCCCGTTCCCTGATGGCTTACCCATCCAATCCTTCATTTATATACATGCTAATGTCTATCTCTCAACCATTCAAACTACAAGTTTTTCTCCAACTTCTCCGTTTTTCTAGCCTTACGCATTTCCCTACCTCTCGTTCCTGACAATAGTGCCCACGTCCCTCTCCAACAAAATATGTATTTAAATTAGAGGCTGGCTTTGCAAAATTTGTGGAGTCAAARACACATGTTCAAAATGGATTTTACTATTATAMTGGGTCTTAACTTAAAAAGCTCATTATTTTATTTATCTAATAAAATAAATTCTCCATAAACCTCTCCCTCTTCCTTAATCCAACACCACACTCTCTTCTATGGCCCTTCAGTGGATAATAGCCAGTTTTCGTCATTTAGACACTCTCGTTGAATGGCGGCGCCGGCGTTCGGGCCGTAACTTTTCGTCCATTATTCGAGAATTCGTAACCTATTAAACAAGYTTTTAATAATCATAAATAAATAATATATTAATATATTATATGGCATAAATATAATAATTATTGGATGAGATTCGTCCATAGGCTCGCCCAATTCAAAAAATAATATCTAATCCAATTGATGGGATGATTGGACTAGAGTGATCCATCAAATGTAGATCTTAGACTGAACTTGAGTTGATGATGAAACTGACACATATTTCCAAATTTGACCATATATATATAGTCTTTTTTAAGTTAACCGTAAGATCATTTTATATTGGTTATTATTATTATTATTTAACTTAAATTTGTTGAGGTCTTAAAAACATTTAAGGGAAGAACTGTTATGTTTTATTTGTTATTATCAGTATTTTTAAATTTTGCCCAAATGCAACCACTTGAAATCTAACCAAATCAATTTTTAAAAATATAATATATCAAATATAATTTAATAATCTATTATTCAAATAAAGTTGTGGACCAAATAATCTTTTATTTATTTATGGAAGTATAGTTTACCAAATTTAATTTAATAATGTAATTTTTAGATAAGCTCTGAACTCACAAAATCAATTCAAAAAGAAATATTAAAAATTTTCAAAAAATAAAAAAGATTAATTTATGGTAAACTATATTTTGGCAAACTATATTTTCATTTATGAGTTGTTTTTTAATCAGTACCCCCTAATCTGCAGCCTCCCTCAAGTAGCGTTTTCACTCTCAGGCAGGTATCAAACTCTTCTTTTGACTATGATTGAGTTCCACTAAAACCTCATGAACTGGGAATAACCTCAAAAACTCTTCTTTTTCTTTCTTTTTTTATGACCTAGTGTACAACAACTTTAACTAACGAGAGATGTGAAATTCTAGAAAGGTGGGGAATTGTGTGTGCTTACGTTATGAAGAAACGTGACTAGGGAGCAAGCTCTTAATTAAAGACCTATTTTCTGGTTGGGTTGTTGACTAGAGAGTACAGTAATCTCAAAGAATTTTTTATTTTCATATTTCGCTATTTGATTCCATCCTCTATCCCACCCTATTAAACTTCCAAAGTTTGTCTCYCCCCATGACTGATTATTAATTAAGTTAAAGAAAATATGAGACGACCTCATTTAAAGAGAACATTCAAGGATAATCTTCATCTCTTAGCGTGAGGGATTTAAATCAAAGCACACATTCAATGTCAACCCCTCAAAACTGCAGTGGGACACCTTTACTGTTGTTTAATTAATTTTTTCAAAAGTTCAATATGGTATGATATATTAGAGATGTTGAACTAATACTAAAACACCATTGATATATTACTACAACTTGATTCTAGGTCACCACATCATTGGGCCGTTCGCATTAAAAAAAAAAACCAAAGCTCCAAATCAATCTATCTACGTAATTATTTTCTAGAAGAATAAAATAATGAGCTTTTTAAGTCAAGACCCACTATAGTAAATAACATTTTGCACACGTTTTTGACTCCACATATTTTGGAGAGACCACCTCTAATTTAAGTAAATATTTTGTTGGAGAGCGATGCGGTGGGAACCACTCTCAGAATCGAGAGGGAGGGAAATACCCAAGGATAGAAAAAAAAAACGGAGAAATTAGAAAAAAAAAAACTCGTAGTTTCAATGGTTGAGAAATTGACCTTAACTTGTATATAAATGAAGGATTGGAAGGGTAAGCATCAGG